TCTTACAAAATATATAATTATGTCAATATCTATATTTCAACACTTATTTCTCAGACTTTCAAACAATGTGAAATGTGAACATTTACACTGATTGACAAAAAAAATAGAAACGATAGTAGTAATAGAATTAGAAATCTTAAAAAAAAAAAAATTCAATCACTCTAAAAAATATATATATATATATCACCCTCATCTTCATCATCATCTTTATCATTATCACTATCATTAACAATCTATGCAATTTCATCATTCCACCAATCCAAATCAAACCAAACCCATATTTGAAGAACACAGAATTTCGAACACAGAGCAACAATGGATGAACACAGAATTTCAAACACAAAATGACAATGGAGGAATACAAAGCTTCACTTCAACAATGGAGAAATATAATATGATTTCACCACCATGTGTAAACTAGAGTTTCTAAACCCTATCAAATAGAGAGTTTCAAACCCTAATGCAATGAAACAATACTACAAATGTGAATGAAACAAATTAAAAAGAAAAAACGTAAATAACGATAACTACCAAAATAGAGGTAGCAACAAAAGGAAATGTATATATCATGTTTCTATGTAATACATATTAATAATAGATATAAGGGTATAATAGTCCAACAAACAATATAAATCAAGAAAAAAGGACCTCATGAAATAAAAGTACAAATACATGTGGACTAATTAGGTTATAATTTTTCTTTGTGCACTTATTAGGTTAGAACACCTCCAAATAGGATTTATTAATAAAAAGTTCATTTTTTAATTTTAATTTTAATTTTTAAAGTCAGTGAGTATTAATGTAGTAGCTAATAGTAATCAATTAATTTAACAAAATATATTTGATAAAATCATGTGATGATATTAAAATGAAAAATTATTGTGTAGTTGTATCCTAACAACTTCAAAAGTCACTGGATCAGATGAGCAGTATATTTAATTGTAAACTCTATGGGATTGTCTACCGGTTGGGATTATTAAGTCGTGTTTTGTTTATGAATTTGGATATAGATTTAAAAAAAAAGAAAATATATATATATATATATATGAAATGTAAATGAAATATAATTTAATTTCACACATCTTTCACATTTTTTTTGCAATTCATTTTTAAATTTTTATCCAAATTCATAAATCAAATATAATCTCAAGAAATTGTTGCAAAGCAGAAATAATTCCTCAATATCAACTCATTACGTTTTGCAAATTAAAATCAATAAACTAAATGTAAAAATTATATTAAAATAATGGCCTAATTTGGATACATAGTTAAAAGCTATGAAGCACGGATACTCCGAAATGGCCCATGTACGCGTATCGGATACGTATCGGATATGGATATGCACCCGATACGGCGGGCTACGTATCAGATACGGGAAATGAAGTATCTAATTTTTTTTTTTTAATTTTTGAATTTCGGATACGCCTCGGATACGCGAGGATATGGTCGGGATACGGTCAGGATACGATATGGATACGGCGGGGCAAAAAAATAATTTAAAAAACTTAAAATGGGGTCAAACTATAAAATATGAAAATAAGATATAATAAAAGACCAAAAAAAATAAATAATAATCAACCAAACTTACCTGACCTAGGTCGAACAGCAGCCGCGAAGGAGGAAGAGGAGGAGTTCGTCGTCTCTCGTCTCGAACAGCAACTCGCCGATCGTCGATCAGGTTCGCGAACAGGAGCTTCACGGTCGTCGATCAGGTTCGTCCCTCTCTCTCTCCCATTCACTTCCTCTGTCTGTCTCTCACTCGATCTCACGAACTCTCTCTCTCTCCCTCTCCCTCTCGCTCGATCTGTTTGTGTTTGGTTGGAGATGGTCGATCTCGATCTCATCTCCCCCTCTCTTGGTCGATCTCTCTCTCCCTCTCCCTTATCTATGTCGTCTCTGCTTGCTTTGCATTTTTATTTTTATTATTATTATTATTATTATTTTGTATATATACTCAGTAAATAAAATAAAATAAATCAAATAAGAAAAACAAAAAAGCTTTGTATTTGTATTCGGTAAAAAAAAAGGTAAAAAAATAAACTTATTAATAAATCAAATAAGGTAAAATAAAAGGTAAAAACAATAAATCAAATAAGACAAAAAAACTTATTAATAAATAAATAAATAAACTTATTAAAAATAAACTTTGTTAACTTATAAAATTATAAACTCTGTAAACTTATTAGTAAATCAAATAAGGTAAAAAAAACTTATTAATAAATAAATAAATAAACTTTTTGATAAATAAATGAACTTTGTAAATTTTTTGTATATGCTACATTACTAAAAATTGTGAAAAAAATATTTTTTATGAACGTATTCCCGCCGTATCCGTATCCTACTTTTTTGAATTTTGTCATATCGCCGTATCCGTATTGTATCGTACCCGTATCCCGTATCCGTATCCGTGCTTCCTTGACTTTTAATCTATTTTAAATCAAATCACTTCTTTACTTTTTTATACATTTAAAAAAAAAAGATCATAAATCAATTTTTAACCAACTTCTTAAAACAATTCAAACATCAATAACTGCCACATTAGCTACACAAATTAGTCAAAAAACTCTGTTTCTAAATGTCCCAATTCATTGAAATTCTTGAAGTTTGATAATGTCAAACATAATCTAATTGTCATGAATATTTTAAAAAATAAAAATAAAAAGATTTGAAAACAAAAATCTGACGCTACACAAAACCGGCCTCTCTAGCATATAAAAAACTTAAGTCTCAACCAAAAACAAACCAAACCAAAAACCTAAACCCATAAGAAATTCCAAACTTAGCCCCCACATCACTCTCATCATTGTTCCGTGGCAATCTCGTGATGGCCATCTCCCACCTATCCTCAACTACTCTTATATAGACCTCTCTCTCTCTCTCTCTCTCTCTCTCTCTCTCTCTATATATATATATATATCTATATACATATACACACATTGCACATATAAAATAAATGGGTGTAACAGAAAGAAAAGGAGAAGATGGGTTTTTGTCGAGTTGTATGTGACTGCATGCGACTTGTTTGGACATTTGGATATTGTTAGGGTTTGCTAGCTCAATATATAGAGATAGTGTGGTAAGGTAATTATAATATCCAGTTCTTCTACTCAATCCCAGCGGCTGAGGACTGTTGTAGTACAACCCAAAACACACAAAAAGAATAGCTTGATTGATTTGGATTTTCTAAAACCAGTTTTGAGAACATTTTATTTTATTGTTTTTCGTAATTTTTTTTTTGTTTTTAGTGAATATTTTTAGAATTTAAGTATTTTTTTTACTTTTTTAGATACATCTTACTTAGATATATTTAAAAAATAAAAAATTTGTGAAAAAATCTTTTAAAAATTCAATAAATACCAAAAATATAAAAAAATACGAAAGTTTAGTATATTTTTCATATTTTTATATATTTGTTAATTTTTTAAAATATTTTTTCACAATTTTTTTACTTTTTAGATACATCTAAGTAAGGTACATCTAAAAAAATAAAAAAAATGCTTAAAATTTAAAAAATATTCACTAAAAACAAAAAAAAAACACAAAAAATAAAAAATTCAATTTTTAAAAAACTTAATTCAAAAAATAAATAAAATATAATTGTATTTAATACACTTTTTTTATTTTTAAATCTTTATCTAAATTTATGAACCACACATAATCTTAATCAAAATATTTTAAATTTTTTTTTTTTTTTTAGATAGTCAAAACAATTTGATTTGACCCTATCTTAGAGGTTGTGAATATTTTAAAGCAGTGGTTTCCCACCATCTGCATTTACAATGAGACTACTTTATATCTGGTGGAGATACATATATTTTTGTTCTGTTTGTTAATTAAAAGGAGAATATTCACAAAACTCAAGAAAATTATATCTGAAAACAATGGAAATCCAACAAAAAGTCCCTCACCGGTGAGGAAGAAATAAACAATTAATACAACAAAGTTAAACAACTCAACAAAGCTCATTTTTATATTTCGTCTACGAAAATAATTAAATTTATATGATAATTGTAATTGTATAATTATTTATTAAAAAATATATGATGTATGATTTTAAAATTTTAATAGAAAACACATGATAAAATTATATGACCAAAATTATCATATTATTATTTTATTTTATTTTTTTATATATGATCTACACATATATGCACTTAAAAGAAAAACAAATTTGTTCATCAAAATAAATCTTGTGGTGAGGCCACAAAAACAAACTACACAGTTTAGTTAGAGAGACCAACCATTTTTTTTCTCTGTAATTCTTTCCCCACAAAATTTGATAAATTCAAGATTCAAATAACCTAATTTTTTTAAAATACATTTTTACCATGCTAGAAGTTTTCTGGAGACTACCAAGATTCATGTCAGTATAGGTTGGTCGCCAAAATCTTATTTTCGGCAACTAAGCCGTATGTTGAGTTTTGGCTACTAAAACTATTTAGTCACCGAATGAAAAATAAAAAAATATTTTTTATCTTTTGGCGATCAAAATTTTGGTCGCCAAAAATTTATTTTCAACGACTAAAAATGTTTTAGTCTCTGTATATTGAGTTTTGGTTACTAAAACTATTTAGTCACCGAATGAAAAATAAAAAATTATTTATCTTTTGTGACCAAAATTTTGGTCGTCAAAAACTTATTTTCAGTAACCAAAAAAAAATTAGTCGTCGTATATTTACTTTTTCCGACCAAAAAAAAGTTAGTCGCCAAATTAATACTTTTGGCGACTAATATTTTAGTTGCCATTAATTAAGCTTTGGCTACAACAATATTTTAGTCGCCAATTATTAACATTTGCCAATACTCTCTCTCACACAGATGAAAAATTATTTAATTTAATTTTTAGTTGCCAATAAAAAATAAAAAATTTATTTTTTTCCTTGGCGACCAAAAATTTGGTCACCAAACATTTATTTTCAACGACTAAATTGTTTTGGTCGCCAAAAGAACTAAAATATTTGACATTTCAAATTTAGCGCTCCTATTTAATATTGGCACCTCGTTTTGTTTACACCTCCTTTTGTTCTCTCTCTAATACACAGAGTCTGTGACCACCAAACCTCACCCAATCTCACCTCGACCTCGACCCCCTCGTACTCCAATCACTACGCCACCCCAACACTCTCAAACCCTCCCAACAACTCTACAATCAGAACCGCTTCCTTCAAACCCCACACGATCCTAACTCCCACCTTTGTTTCTTCCTCGTCAATTACTGCGACTGTGGCCTCAATTTCTTCTACCCTAATGGTGCGAAACTTCAAGTTCTAGCCCCTCAATCTTCCAAGTACTGTTTTTGTTTTTGTTTTTGTTTTTGTTTTTGTTTTTGTTTTGCTTTATTTTTTCTAGGGTTTCTGAACTTGATTTTCAATTTCTCTATTTTACAGGCCGAATCAACCGAAGAACAACTCGAAGCTCTCTTCGATTACCACCTTGTTCAACCCTTCGATGTTGTCTACCTCGACGGTCTGTCCTCTCTCTCTTTATATATATATATATATATATATATCTTTGTATTGTGATTTGGACAGGGATGTCAGTTTTAACAGGTTAGTGGGAGAAATTCCAAATGACATAACTGGAAAGAATTTGAAGTTTGTATAAGTATGATGCCCAAAATTTATGTTGCATTTGGTTATGTTTTAAACAGTACTTTGTTTTTTCTCCTATGGATCTAAAAGTTATTAAAGCAAGGCAAAGTGGTTTCTGGAAACAAAATTTGTACTACTGCAATCTGGTCACCTTTTGAGATTTGCCATTTGTAACACAACTTTCAGATTTTTCTTTCCATTATTAATCACCTTTTTTGTTTGTCAATATTTTCCCTCAAAACATAGAGAGAGTTAGAGGGATGAAGATTATGGTTTGCATGTTGTCAGTGTCACAGGATTCTGGCTTGATATTTTGCAAAGTTAATCCATTTTGATGTATATCTTTATTTACATAAATGCGTAGTTATTTTATCCCTCTTCCTTTCCTTGCATTTAATTTCAATCCCAACATTGCCTGCACTATAAATGGGGCTATTTGTACACTTTAGGCGGAGTGGACGAAGCGAAAAATAGGATAGTTCTGCTCACATTGCATATTCTTTGTTGGTTTTGATTGCTAATATATTTTAATGTCTTTTTGATCATATATATTTTAATGTTGAGTAACTACTTTTTTACTTGAATGGAAGCATGTGCAGAAAGTCAATAGGCCCATCATGACTTGTGTGTTATGACTCACTACAAGAATTTACACATTTGGCGACCACTTTGCCGACCAAAAAAATTTTTGTCGCAAAAATATGACATTTGGCGACTAAATATTAATTAGTCGTGAATGATCATTGTTTTTGGCGACCAAATATTATTGGTCGCAGAAGGTTATATTTTGGCGACCAAAAAATGAGTTGGTCGCAGAAAGTGGTATACTTTTCCCGACTAACTACAAATTTGGTCGCGGAAGGTCACATATTTTTTGGCGACCAAATTTTTGGTCGCCAAAAATTTATTTTCAGCAACCAAAAAAAATTAGTCGCCAAATTTGTATTTTTAGCGACCAATATTTTAGTCGCCGTTGATTGAGATTTGGCGACTAAAAAAGTTTGTCGGCGAAGGTACTTTTTCTGCGACTAATTTGGTCTTTTGGTCGCCAAAAGTTTGGGAGGGAAATTTGAACAATCAGGAGGGGGGAAATGAAATTTTTTGGCGACCAAAAAAATTTGGTCGCCAATCAAAAAACGACGTCGTTTTGTACCTGCAAAACAGAAAAAAATAAATAAATAAAGGCAAATCCAGTGAGTAGCCTTTGTGTATGTGAGGCCGATTTGAACCCTTCACTACTACAAAAATAGTTAAAGATCACACTTTAATAAAAAAAAATATCTCACTTTTATTGAAAGTGTGATAAAAAAAATTAGATTGATATTTTAATCACACTTAATTTGATTTAGTGTGATAATATTTATTTTTTATGTCACTTTTCAATTAAGTGTGATTATATATATATATATTTTTAATCACACCTTCTAATTAAAGTGTGATTATATATACACTAACTACTTTGTAATTACACTTTTTAAGTAATACTACAAGAAAAGTGGGCTTATGAGACGGAACTTTTTGCGACGGCACATTTGCCGTCGCAAAAAATGTGACCTTTTGAGACGGCACAATTT